TACAAAAAATTAAATTATATAAAAATCTTAATAAAATTATTATATTTTATAATTTAACCAATCAAATTATAAAATTTCATGTAACAATGATGCATATAAAGTTTAGAATATTCAGATAGCATAATTTTTAGAGTTCCTATCCAATATCTGTTTATCCATTTATCTATTGGATATCCAGATCTGAAGTTATTCGGATATCCGTTTTACTATTGATATCCGAAATAATTATCCTAATATTTGTCAGATTATCTGGATATCAATAGTAAATGGATATCCGGATAAATTCAGATATAGATAAATGGATGACGGATTATCCGGATTGAAACTCTAATAATTTTTATAAAATTTTTACTAATAAAATTGAAAAATTTTTATGCATTATTCAATTAAACAGTTTATACAATTAGCCTTAGTAACCAACTTGGTTTTGAGATTTTGTATTCATTTATACAAGATATTCATTTATATAGTATTCATTTAGACAGGTTTGACTGTAATTGATAGACCTAATAAGCAAACTACAAGGTTTAAAATTATTCAACTATTTAAACACCTTGAACTTTCTATTGCTTCTAATATTTCATAGCAGATCTCATATACTATCTCTACTAACTCTGTATCTTTAGAATCTATATTATTTACACATTTACAATATTCTAATTTTAAAAAATAATTTTGTTATCATTATATTTTATACTTAGATCAACTTACCTCTTTTGATAATTCTTACCTTCTTAGTTGACAGCATATCTCACCAAGAATTCACAAAATTCCTAAAAGAAAACAACTATTATAGTTTACTACCCTTGAAAATAATGTTATTAGTCATTATTCATCCAAAACTTTGTATAATCACATTCAACTCCCTGATATAAACTACTATTGCTATACTATTGGATATTTTTCATCATGCTCTAAACCCTGACTTATTACAACACTTAATAATTAAATTATTATTGGTAAAGCACACAGGCAGCCTACCCCTTCTGGACATATTCTTATTATACACTGGTAATGTTCTATTGAATCTCAATTTACTTGCTTATATCCAACACCATCTATTACTATCTACTGATATTCAAACTGCCTTCTAAACTCTAATCTTATTGCCAATAGATGTACTATTCTTATTCCTATTAATCTTGCTACTAAGTTCTTTAGCAAAGTCAATTCTATAACCAAATCTGTTAACTTGAATGCTAATCATCTTGATTTAATATACTCTATTGCCTGTCGGCATCTATTTCAAATCTCACCTGCTCCTAATATTTCTATTGCTACAATACAAATACTAAATATTTTCGAAACAAATATTTTAACTAATACTCTTCAGACAATTGCTAATTACAATCACAACTACTCTGAGCTTTTTTTCTATACAGATGGTTTAGTTATAGAACTTGAAATACTTTAATGCTTTATGGGGATTGAATAGATACAAATCCAAAACAACAACATTGTATACTCTTTTCAGACACAAATTAAGCTCTGGTCATGCTCTTTTAAGGCTAAGCTTATTGCTATTATATTTGCATTCATTACAGCACCTAAAAACTGCACAGTCTATATTTACACAGATTCACAATTTGTAATTTCTAAATATAATAACATCAACTAGACTTCATTTATTTTATCTTTTATTCGAACACTATATCACTTACTATAATATACTTTAATTAATTTTATCAACTCATATAACTTACAAGTTGTCTTTCACAAGGTTAATGCTCATCAAGATGACGAATTTAATAATCGAACTAACCAACTAGCCTGAAGCCATTTTAACACACCTTATTTAATATTTAAACTATACAATATATATAACTCAAACTATACTCTTCTTTTTGATAATTTTTCAGTAGAGTTACCAATTAGATGATTTATTTGAACAATTTGCTATGCTCTTATCTATGCTCTTTGGTCATCACAAAACTGATTCCAGCAATAGTCCCAAATCTCTAATTAGATTTACTGGTATGCTACGTGACTATATATTAATAATAACTAAAAGATATCTAACTATTCTCATAGCTTCCAGGCATTTACTTTGAAATCATTTCATATTAAAATCTTACTTGATGATTTGTCTACTCTAGACATCCTACATAAATGTAACTCTGTATACCCACCAGTATGCCATCAATGCAATCAAGCTTGTACTACACTTCACTGGATCACATGCCCAACACCTCAACCTCTCCAAGATTTGATTAGTAATTCACTTCAATCAACAATAAACCTATCTAACCTTGATTCTTTAACCAAATCTATTGCTAATATACATTAACAAATCCTAAATCTTCAATATATACAAATCCACAACTCACCAAATATACCATCTCTTTTATTAACAATTTCTAATCTTGTTCCTATTGAAATCATATCTGTTTTTACTGATCTTACCCTATCTAAAAAAACTGCAATATTGCTTGTAATCAAATTTCTTCTATATCTTAACAAACAAATCTATAACTCTATTTGAATTCCATACTATATCTCTAGATCCCAAGCTAATATTTCTATTAATCAATTGTCTTCTGTATCTACTTTATCACATCAACCCCGACCATCACTTTACTCAATTGCTAATCCTAAATTAAAATTATGGTATCCAAAATGGATCAAATACCAATTTGACTTTCATAACTTACTTTTAAATTCCCAAATCTAGATAAGCCATAGCCACTCTGGTAGGTTTAGGCCACAGATAATTATGTTATTATATATTGTAACATTGTATCTAAGTCTCTAGTCTTAGTATCCTCTGGATATGAAGTTCAAATGTAATTTCTTTCTTGTATGTATTTCTTGTAAAGAAACTCAATTAAATTTTAATAAAGTTAGAAACATGGCCTCACCTTTTAAAATTTTTAAAAAAAAAAAGAATTTAAAAGATATATATAATAATTAACAATTAACAATTAACAATTAATAATTAACAATTAACAATTAACATTTAACACTTATTTAATGATTATTATAACAATTAACACTTAATGCTTAACAATTAGCAATTACAATTAATGTTTAGCACTAAATAAATTATGCTTAGCTGCAATAATTAACAATTAGCTTTAAAAATATAAAAAAGCTGTACAGTAAATTTCTTCAAATAAACATTAAACCTGTTTACTGTCCAAATAAATATAGACTTTCCTTTTCTTTTAAATTCTCTCTAAGTAATATCATAAGATTCTTTAAAGATAGAACCTAAAAATAACTTATCTTATATCTCTTAATAAATATACATTTTATCTATAAACTATTGTCTACCCAAACTGCCGCAAAGAAAAGGATATAGTTTTTAATTGAAGTAGAAATTATACTTATCTCTTGGACACTGCTATAAACCTGTGAAGGATCCCTATAGCCATGTCATTGTTATAATAATGCTGTTAAGAAGGCCACGGTACTGTAACGATACTATACTGTAGCATTCATTCGGTAATGTTATTATATTTGAAAATTGATCAAACGCTTTATAACAGATAACAAACAACCATTTTACGAAAATATTTATTTACTAAACATGACATCCAAAGCGATATAATTATAGTGAGTGCAAGTGTGATTATTTTATCGTGTTAGGATATGGTAGGTTACGGGAATCTTTTGTTGGTTACGGTTTACAGGAAACTAGCCAATAAAATTGTAGAATTTTGATCACGTGAAATCTATATGTGTATATATTATTTTTAATATCAATGTTAAGTTAAACAGAAAATTAAATTGGTCTGGCCTAATTAAATTTAAACCTTATTATTTTTTTGTACAAATTAACATATAAAATTTGGGTATACGTATTAACTCATTTGACCATAAGTACAGCAACCATTGAAATATGTTTTACACTGTTAAAATCATTAATATATTATAAAGGGGTTTATCAAACCAATTAAATTAATAATTACCATCTTCTTGTACCATAATAATGAATATCTATCCAACCTCAATCCCGATCTCTATTTATAAAATCCGTTCCTGATTGATATTAAATGCGCATATGTTGTGTTTATTAACATTAATTTAACAAATTTAATTGGTTTGAGTTTGACACCATGGATTGAAAGTGGGATATATTTTGGCTTTAGTTGAAACCAAATAAAGTAGAAATTCCGGTTCTCAAACTCAAACTACGTAGGAACAACATAATTAAAAAAAAAAAAAAAGATTTGGACCGTAACCTTAATCTAATCCGTTCAAAAAACCTCTGCTATAATCTTCAGCTCCCATTGCTTGAAAGACCGCAAGTTCGGATGATTCTATGTCCCTAGTAGGGTCTCTTTCGGGTGACAAGAAGTCAGACGGCTGTTCTTCAGTAAGAGGTTGTGTTAACAGTATTAGTCTACCATCAGTATCAGAATATGCACCATCATCCTCAATTTCTTCTTCAACATCATCATCGCCTTCATCAAAATCTTCAAGTTCGTCATCAAGATCTTCGTCTTCATCTTCTTCATCTTCCTCCTCTTCACCATCATCATATTCTGAATCATCATCTGCTATGTCATCTGCTGCTACTATTTCATCATCCTATGTAAAAAAATTGTAGCTGTGAATTCCCAATATTTAATACTAATCAGAAAAAACATGGTTCAAAAAACTAATATTCTTACAGAATAACTGTCTCCCGATTTGAATCTGTAAACACCAGGAATAGGTGTTCGTTTACATTTATTTTTTATTGCTTGTAACTTGTATAGAATAGAATTATTAAATTAATATCAATAACTTAATAATGACATGCACATAAAGTTGCAGTAAAAAGTAATACTTGAGCTTCATACTCCTCCTCTTCTTTATCCAAGGCAACTGCTTCGTTCACCATGGCATGCCTGTACCAAGAATGAACTACAGTTCTAGGTTCAAGAGACGGTGTCCAAAGGTGAGGGAATGACATGATAGAATATAGTTTTGAAGTGAATCGAGTTATATATTTATATATATTTATATATATTTATATATATACAAATATGATGAAATTCGATTGGTCAATCATTTGAATAAGTACGCGAAACGCGATTTTTTATATTTAGCGCTACCGCAAAATGGTTAGAATATTCTTACGTCCCGATCAACTCGAAATTCAGAAAACTTCTAGAGATGAAACAGATATAACAGGGGAAGGTAAGGATAGCAAAAGTAATTAAAACAAGTGGTGATAAAATCCGATTTAATTATTTGGACTTTAGTCATCACCTGTTTTATATCAGTGAAAAAAATGCTTAAAACTGTTTTTTTTACTATTCCAGGGGAAGGTCTCATTTTATTTGATATACAAGGTGACATTAAAACTATTGGAGAGCCGAAAGGTTCAAAAATTGGAACATTGACATTTGATAATGTAAGTTCAAACTTTAAGTACGTGTAACTCGATCCCAAATTTGTGCATAACGTTTCGTTGCTCCAATATATATTTATGATGTATATGTTTCTTAGGGTGTCCCAATTCTTCAAGTTGGTCATTGGTACATCATGGGAAAAATTGCAGAATTAGAAAAACCTATAATGGTTATTAAAAAACGTGAAAAGGATTCTTCCATTTACATGTCCGATTCACCGGGAAGGAGAGGAGAATCACTAATTGCAGAAAGACTAGAAGATCTGAACATTGTGGATTCTCACGAAAATATTGAGTATGATATAGTTCAGATTTTTAAAAAAGCCTACATGTTTACAGCTAGGCCTATACCTATGATGATGGATAATGTTTCGAACTAAACCTGCTACCCTGCCATGTAATTTTTTTTTAATAAACAGCCACGATATAGTGATGGAGAAAAGTAGATTTATTCACGATGCCTTGCAATACGAATTTAATTAAAGGATTGTTTTTATTGTCGGTGAATCAAAAAAAAACTCTACGACCATAGTATCGATTAGTTTAGCGTGGATATACACATAGTGGTTTGCAAAAATGTGAAATTTGCAGATCAAAAAAAAAAAAAGAAATCGCTTGATTTTTAGGTGATTTCTGATTTCTTAAAACTACTCCGATATCTGGTATGAAAATTATATCGGAGTAGTTTTAAGAAATCAGAATCACCTAAAATTGAGTGTTTTTTTTTTTGATCTGCAAATTTCACAAAATACTAACTAAACGTATACGTAGGATACATATGGGCAAAACTCCGATTTTGGGGGTTATTGAGAATAATAATAATATTCCATAAAATTAATCCAATCATTTGTACGTATTATGTAATTGCCGAAATTCAAATATAAAAATCGAATTATATGGTTGTATTTGATTGATCAATTGCATAAATGTAATATATACGCATCGCTTAATTTCAGAATTTAAATAATCACCATATCCTCATCAAAAATTTCGTTCATATGGCGGGACAGCATAACCAAAATATTTTTTACTAATTTTCTGTTAGTTTCTTAAATTATTACATATCGATATATTAAAAGTTTTAACAACTTAAAAAGTTTATTTTGTCCCTGGGTGGCGATTCAGAATCGGGACAGTCCCGGATGAGAATTTTGTAATGTTGGCCCAAAATATACTAATTAAAATTTAAATTATTTTCTTATTCAAACCCTAATTCTGCCAAATAATTTACAAATTTCTCATGTAGGGCAGCCCGATCCTGAATTGGGACGATTCCAATCTGAGATACATCTGCCAGTGTCGATCCCATAATGAACTATAATCATTTGGTTAGCATAGCTTTTTTTGATTTCTTTTTTTTTTTTTTTTTTTTTTTTTTTTTTTAATGTTGATTGGTTAATCAGGAGGTAGTGCATCCAACTAAGTGATTATATAAGATACAGTATATAGGTATATATATGTATAAAGATTGTGATTATATAGGATACAGTATATAGGTATATATATATGTATAAAGATTGTGATTATATAGAATACGGTATAAAGTATATATATATATATGCATAAAGATTGTGATTATATAGATGCAACCATAAAGGAAAAACTACCGTAAAGGGAAGACCCGGGTCTCTTACATTCCACCAATTTTAAAACCTATAATAGACCCGGGTCTAGTATACGGCTGAGAGTTTATATCATTAATAAAAAAATTTTGAAGAGTATGCACGTTTTGCATTTATGGCAGGTAGTCTAGATATTTGAAAAAAAACCAGGCTTGATTAATGTAGATCCTGTAATTCGCGCTCGGGTCTAATTCATGGGGGATCTGATATATAGGTGGATCTTTTATATGACCCTTTACGGTATTAATATTTTTTCGTAAACATGTGAAAGTTAAAAAAACACATCACATAAACATATTGAAATAGCAAATACTATCAGCAAATAATACATTTCTTTTAATTATCATAATATAACTTACAACTGACTCAGCATGTCACATGTTAGTTTTTTTTTATAGCATCAAAATATCTTAAAATGATTATATTACTCTTTCTTCATATCCCTTGCCACTAGATTACTAGGTTTATCCTGCCTTCTTTGTTGATAGATGTTTTCTGCATGATTTTCGAACATAGCAGCATATCTAGCTGCCACAAAAAAGAAATCGCTTAACCTAGCGAAAGTATTATGATTTAATTATTTATTACATACCATCAAAAATAGAAGAATATAGCGTAGTAAAAGAAAAATCATAAAATACCTATTCAAATATTTTCCAACAGCATTGTCAGCAATTCTTGCTTCAATCAATGGTACTGTAATACGTTCAGCTCTACGACATATCTATAAAGAGATGAGTATATTTAGTAAGAGCATTGAGCTATTCAATAATTTGTTAAAGAATTACAATTACAAACCGAACGACATTGATGCAAAAATACAGCACTCTCTCCACCCGAAGGTAAAATGAAATTTTTCAATGGAGGAAGTTGCTAGTAAAAAGAACGCGTAATTTGTTTAGCGACCGAAATAAAATAAAGATTTTTGTACCGGATCTAATTTATAATTTCGAATGATATCAATAATTAAAATAAAAGAATGTGCATGTATTTACAGAATCATAATGATCAATCCAAGATTCCAAAGTCGTAACAATTTCATCATCGAAAGATGTATGGGCTTAATGATGAAATGAAAAAATTGTCAATATTTTTTAAATTTACCGTGGAATATTTATTACACCCTTCACTTACATAATTTAGATTCGTTAGAAGAACTTCGTGGAGTTGCAATATTAGAACCAATCTCGATCAATTTGCATTGTATCTAATGTCAAAAAAAAAAAAAAAAAATTCGCTATGGGACATTGTAAGCATCACTTTTAAGTCAATAAATTATACCTCGACTAATTTTTCATCCAATCCATTTCCGGCCTTTTTACAATAATAATTAGCGATTCTATTAATATAAACGAAGAGTGATTAAAAAAAACATCTATAATTATTAAAAATTTTCTACTTGGATGATTACCCGATACTAGAACTTAATTCGTCCACAGTTCCTAATGAATGAAAAATATCATCATATTTTGGTCTCCGTTCACCGGTATAAAGACTTGATGTGCCTGTAAAAAAAGAATATATATATATATATATAGAAATATAGATTACTATTGTTCATGTTTCGAGCGTGGAATTTTAAAAGGGAACAACCTTTATCTCCGGTCCTGGTATAAATGGGTGACTTTTTGGGCTCAGGACTATAATGAAAGCCAGAATTAGGGAAAATACTTACGAACCAATACATATACGGCAGGAAATCAAAAAAGACGCGATATTCAGACCTTTGGCAACCAACCATTCTTCGTTGACTTGCAAACAAGAAAAAAGCTTTGCCGCTCGTACAAAAATTCGAAGATGTAGACGAGACAAGCAAAGCCTGGTTGACTGTCAAATGAAGCCGACAAAAATATCGTAATAATTTATAAGACATACTTTGGATATTCCGACATTTATTCACCGGCTAACTCTGTAAAACTGTAAAAAGCGCGAAAGTAGATACATCATTATCATCATGATTGGTTGATAATTTCTAGATCAGGTGTAACGTAGCACAATCTGGCAAATTCAACCCAAAAAGTTTAAAATTGACTTGATTTAGTTTAGTAATTTAATTGATAATGTTGTTTAAGTAGAGTTCCAATCAGTGTTAATTTTTCAGTTAAAATTTACTGTGCGGATACCGCACAATTTAGAAACTTTTCTGTGCGGCAAATCAAGAAAAACTATTTACAAGTGTGCGCACTACTTACAAAATGTTAATTTTTTCTGTGCGGCATCCGCACATCTGTTCAAAAGAAAAATGTGCCAATATTTTGTTTCTGTGTGCTGCGCACAGTCTGCACAAAAAATAATCACTGGTTCCAATCCATTAACCCGTTAACTATTGATATCCGAATAATTTATCCGAATATTTAACGGATTATCCGGATAAATTCAGATATGGATAAATGGATGACGGACTTTATCCGGATTGAAACTCTGTTTAAGTGGGGTTGGGATTTCTTATAATTTTAAGGTAGAATTATTTTGTAGAAACTTACAATCTATCTTATCGTTATTCTTACAATCTATCTTATCGTTATTCTATCTTATCGTAATTTAAAATCCAAAATCCACTTAAATTCCGTTCCCAATTACAACATACACAACATACGTATATTATGTCGTAGGTAGGAACAGAATTTAAGTTGATCCGGAATTTTTAAGGTTAGGGTTGGGATTTTCAGTATAATTATTCTGTTCTAATCTAAGTGGATCCCGAATTCTATTATGGTTCCATTTCCACTTACAATATATACAGTATTTTAATAACTCAAATTATTTTCACAAGAAAGCTACAGTATATACAGATATACAGTATAATTCTCTTCTAATAATTTATGTAGATCTAAATATATCTAATCATTAAACATCTAAAATAATTGTAATATGGTAAGCTAAAAAAGCCTGGACTTGAGTCATCTTTTTTACATAGAACTACTCTGATTAATTAAACTTTAAAATTCGCAATTAATTTCAATTAATCGAAAGAAATTGCGTTATACGTATCATCACACTGAGGAAACAGCCTAAGTAAATAAAACCTAAAACCGGATAACAATAAATAAATAATACGGATGTGCACAGATAAGAGTTTATCAAAAGCAATAAAAGCAATAACTAGATGCAATGGTCAATAAAATAAAATATATCATTAATCACGTGCACGAATATTATTGGTCAATTGTTATACTGAATCTTCTATACCCACATGTTCGGTGTAATTATACGAACTATAAGTTACGTATAACAAAAAATATCTCCAGAAAGAGTACATATATTATAAAGTAGAAACGAATTTCAGATTTTTTAATTTAAGATATCAATTCTAAGACTTGATTAGGGTTATATCAACTTAGCGTTGTTAACTGATTATCAAATGAAGAGCTACTACTTGATTGATAATTGGTGCGCACTGGCATCCTAAATAATACGGAAGGGGGAAGCAATCTTGCATATACGTACGTATCTACAAATAATCAATGGGAGCAAATCCTTTACTATTTCATGGTAAATAAGACTTTCTTGTAAGCATAATTCTCTATTCGCGTGTGATCGAACATTTTTTCATCGAAACCTTAACCCATTACTGTAGATCTGACACCTTGTGACATTCAAAATAATCGACGGAATGCACAATGAAGTGCGGCCGAGCAGCAGCATCGGCAAATCAACAAACGATTAGACTATAATGTCTTGACGATTGCTATATGTTTAACAATACGACGTTGCACCGAACTTATGTTTGCATCTTCAAGATTATTTAGGTTAAAATAATAAATGACATTTTTAAAAGTGAAAAGAGAATAAAGAGAATAGCAGGTGATTGCGAAGGTACAAAAAGGGTTATGCTATCACAATGATTCCATTATCTGTAGGTTATGAAGATAATGTCTTGTCTTTCTCATTATACCTTTTTTTACATGTCACATGATCTTTTTTCTTGTTTGTTGCAAATACATTTAAATAATAGCTTCCACTACAAACGCCAGAACATCTCTTTTTTTCTTCAAAGAACACCTTTTGACTTTAATTATCCCACTTACCAATAATTCTATTAACCTCTTCCATATCCCTTTAGCATCTCCTAACCTGTAATTTTAAAGTCATAGACTATACTTCTATCTTTCACTCAACAAACTTCCCGTACGCAATTTTTTAAAATTGCTAACACCGACCGCGACATCTAGAAATAAACTTGTTTGCTTTCCTTTTTTTTGGGGGGTCTTTAATCGTAGTTCTATTCGTCTAAAGATTTATTCATTTGAAGATTTATCGTTATCATCTGAAAATCCATTCATCTGGTGTTTTTTCCTAATCTTATTTTTTTTTTTTTTTTTTTTTTTTTTTTTTCTTATTTCCGCCCCCTTTTTTTTTTAATCAGCTCATACGTACTGAATAGTACTAGATAGTACTAATACCTTATAAAGTAATATTATATCTGCAACAATAGTAGACATTAGTTGAGCTTCACTTGATTTTTGTGCTCCACAAAAAAAATTTTTTCTTTATATATATACATACATATAAAATTAAAAAAAAAAAAAAAACTTCGCCACCCAAACTATCACCACTATATCAACTAGAGCACCTTTCCGTAGGACCAGCTCCACTTAATTTTCAATTCTTTATTCGTAGCCTCTCTCTACTACAATGCCAGTATTCTCTAACCCCGTAATTGCTTCAACAACGAGCCCCATCAACAATAACATTAACGGTTTGCCGGACAAATGTATGTGCGTCGATGGTGTTTGTCTCGATCCATCTCATAAGCACTACGCTGAACAACAAAAAAAGTATCAAGAACATTTTAAACAACAGCAACTATTACAAAAAAGAAAACGTCGTCTTTCCCTCACAACAGAGATCTCGACTGTTAGATTAATGCCGACTACTACGTGTTCACTATATTCAGGTTCAAAATTTAGAGGTGAACAAAGGAGTGGGAGAAGTAGTTACGATGTTGCTGTTCATATTCAGGTAAGCTATTGAAACAAGATAACTAGAGTTTTATAAAATAGATCAGAATTGATTAAAAAAGTGGATAAAAAAAAAAAGAAATAGGTGCTGATACGGTATTAAGATATTTTAGATTGACATTCATATTATCGACGAATGAGTTGTTTGTTAGGAAAATGCTAAAATTTTTATTTGCGTTGAATCGCATTGGATTTTTGTATTTGCATACTATAGCACTATCAATGTTCATACAAGACTCCTGTTCTCATCTGTAAAAGATTATACAACTAGCTAATCTTTCTTTGGTCATCCCAGCACGTTGATCTTTCAGAGTCATTTTTGTGTGGCTACCTTCATATTAAAGGCCTTACGGAAGACTATCCTGAATTGACTACTTTCTTTGAGGCAGAAATTATTGGACGCAAATATTCTTTTCTCACGAAGAAATGGGATGCTGATGACAAAGTCGACGTACAACATTGGGTATGATTTAATATATTATTTTGTTTGTAAAATGTCCAAAAAAAAAAAAAAATTTTTTTGTTCATAATACTTATTTATAAATCCAACAGATTCGCTTCCCTGCGTTCCGTCCTCTTCAAAAGCATATGAAAAAGGACGGATTTGTTTATGATTTCCGCAATAAGGATTATATCTTTATGAGATGGAAGGAGCATTTTCTTGTCCCTGATCACCGAGTAAAGACCATTAATGGCGCCAGTTTCGCTGGATTCTATTATATTTGCTATCAATTAAGCACGGGCGTTATTACTGGCTTTTATTTCCACAAGACCTCGGAAAGGTAAGAATCAATTTATTTATTTACTTATAATTAAGTTTCATTTAATAAGATACAATAAGACAATGTTATGTTGAGAGTATCATATGTCCTGTTTACTATTAAAAAAGCTGGTTTCTTGGATCAATTAACAAATGTTGGAATAAACGATTATTTCGATGCATCATTTGTTAATATATATATATATTGCATTTTAAATATATTAAATAGGTTCCAGGAATTGAAGCTACATCATTGTGCAGACAACTCCTTTCCATCTTTCGAGTTTCGATAAGGAAAACTTCCTAACTCAACACATATTAGTTCCGCATATTACAAGGTAGAAAACAGGAAAAAGAATAAAATTATATTCATTTGTGATTTTATTTGATCTCAACAATTTCCTTGCATTCGCTTCAACCATAATATCAAAATGTTTATACAACATATATGGACTTTTCTATTTTGCTTATGCAATTTATTGTTATATAAACCTAAGGTTTGTTAGGGGGTTCATTATTTCTTTAGACTTAAATCTGCAAACAATTGGTGACTCGAATTACCAGAGTTTTAGATTTTTTTTTTTTTTCTATCATAAGATTTTATTTCAACTCTTAAATTTAGACAAAAACGCGTCCTATCTTTATACGCTACACTTTACATCGTTTAATTTCCCTTTCCCTTTAACAAAACACTTCATAAATAAACAACTTTCCGCATTCACAATTTGCTCAAGATTAAATACTTATTGTACAAATTATATTGTATTATTATTTTTTTTTATTTCCCTATCCTATTGCACACATAATATGTAACATATTACACGAATCATTATTTGTATTGTCAAACCATACAAATTAGTGTGTTTTATGTGTGTTGTTATATTACACTTCTACGTATATGTTCTTCAAATTTTGTATTTATCTTTACATAGTTTTCCATTTTACACACAACATACATATATTGCTTATTTTTTCTTCATGAGAAGGGGTTAACAAAAAAACATTATACTTTCTTTTTTTTATTTTTTTTTCTATCACATCATTTCGATGAATTTTTGGAATCTTATTTTTTGGATATAAATTTAAATTTTTTTAGACCGACCTTTTTTTTTTGAAATGGTGTGTGAGTTAAATATTTCCATCTTCCTAGATTTTTTATGTTAATAATTTTCATATCTTTGTTGATATTTCAATTTGGACATGTGGCATTGAAAAAAAATATTCCTATAAGAATAGGGTGTTTAAATTTATTAGTGAATAAGGAAAACAAAAGGGTATGAATTTTTAGGATTAGGAAGAACTGAACTTGAGATTTGTTATATATAATTTTTTTTCCTTTTTTTTTCTTTTTTTTTTTTTTGTTGAAAAACACTGGCTTTTATTTATGTATTTATTCTCATTGGGTAGAATCATATTATTTCCGGTTCTTCCGCGGTTGCTTTCCTACTTGGACCGCAAATTTTTATCTGTCATTTTCTTATGATTCACGTATAAAAAAAACACCTAAATTAAGCACATCTTACATTTTTACAAAAAAAAAAAAAAAAAAGAATAAAAGTTTCGTTCTTTTGGTGATCTTACATTGTTTTAAGAGTTAAAATTTTGAAAATTAATTCTAACCCAAATTTAGAATACAATGGATCAGAGATAATCAGAGATTTCAATTTATTTTGACTAATATGGTACATATTCATCTAACGCTATAAATGGACTAGTTTTTTACTTCAGATGTTGCTATAAAAGTAGATCTCACATTTGTTAATTTCTTTTTGCGGTTAATAGATAATTTACATCTAACTGTATCCTTCTTGGTACCCAATGGGTAAACTCGAACCATTTCCCCGTTATCGGATTAACTCCAATCCCTGTAATATCAGTAACATGTCCCCATTTACCGAATTTCCCTCCCTGAATAGATTTATCACCCTCCTTGTGGTTACCAACCACTTCAGAATTTAAATCACCAACATTACTGTTATTTGGGACCTGTTCAATAATGTGTTGTAATTCATCAGGTCTTAAATAATATTTAAAATCGTGCGTTCCATTTGGTACTATTCCAAATATACGCTCGGCCAATAAAATAGTTAGTATATACGAAAGCGGTGTACGAGAAATTGTCGAAAGAAATAAGTGACCTCCTGGCTGCATGTTACACAAATCACGAGGTTAGATATGATGTCAGATTCTAATCTTGGAAAAAAGATTTGTTAAATATGCAAGGGATATGACAGAAAGTACCTTAACTAGTTCAGCACATGCTTTAAGAAATTCTGCTGGATAATTCACATGCTCAATGACTTCCATCGCGCACACAACATCAAATGACTCTCCTTTCTCTACCAATTTTTCTTGGAAAACAAAAACCAAAATTGAATAAGATAAATCAATAAAGTTAATTTAAAATTTTGTTTTAACACAATACCTGCGGTTATACATCTATATTCAAGAGCTCCAGGTCCAGAATATAATCTTGGATCTTTCCTAGCATGTAATCTTGCTATTTGAATATTTTCTGGAGACGCGTCAGCCCCTACAACTGATGCACCCAATCTAACCAACGACTTTACAATTTAATTGCATGCATATATTTACTCAAATAATAATGTCTGTAAATAAATTTATATTACAAACTTAAATATTATTATACCTCAGATAAAACGCCACCACCACAGCCGATATCCAAAATTCGCAAATCTTTAAACGGAATTTGATCATCACATGAAGATGCTGTCTCGTACTTATTTTCTTGCCCCTTGTTTAATTCTTCATTATTATGCTTTGATAATTTTTTACGAATATATGAGATCCTTAATGGATTCATACTATGTAACAATTTTATAGGTCCGTTTGGAGACCACCATTCTTTTGCCAATTGCCCAAATTTGTGTATCTCTTGCTCTTTAATTGTCGAATATTGTGATGAGGAAGGATTGGACGTGGATGACTCCTTTTGTGATGAATTTTGATGAAGATTAAATATCGTGCTTAGCAAAAAAAAAAAACGTAGATACAGATCATTAATTCAAGTTTCATAATATAATTATATCAATTTTTAAACATATTATGAACCTATTAATATTTCGAATTTGCTTTAATGAGTAAATTTTCGAAAAATCTTTAACGATGTCACGTTTTGTCTTCGAATAATAAGACTGAATTACAGTCTCGAATGTAGTTGAACGACCCATTCGAAAAATAGATGATAATTTCATCTCAAGATCGCGTCCCACAGTTTCATGCATATTCCAGATCGTTATGTAGCATGTGTCAATCGATCATTTGCCCAGTTAAGCAAATTACTTTTGTCAGGGATTTTTACCAAAAGTGGTCATCGATTCTGGAACGTTCTACAAAAAATCCTTGAATGTTGGAATGATTGGTTTATATGTAATCACGATTTTTTGTTAACCGTTCGCGCAATAGCCACTAGTACATACGTAGCTATATGAGTAACGGAAAGAGAAAACCAGTAAAATTTAACTTTCTCATCGGATTTAGCCTCTGAAGAACCTGTGACTAATGCAACGTCCCTTTATTGTAGTTTATACATATAATGCTAGATATTGAGGGCTTTTCAATAGAAAGGGGTGAGATTTCTTCTAAGTAAAAGTTTTTTAAACTTTCAATTAAAATATCTCAACAACTATTAAATTATTTTTTTATTTATTTTAATTCTATAAAATTATAAAATTAAAAAAATAAATTTTTATTAAATTTAATTTATTAAGATATTTTAATTTAAAATTTAAAAAAGGTTACTAAAAACTTTTTCCCCCCCTTTTCTATTGAAAAGCGCCCATATATATGTTGTAAGTGGGAATGGAATTAAGTGGATTCGGAATTTCAAGTTAGATTAGGGTTAGAGTAAGGGTGTATATATGATAAAATCAACCCCAAAATGCTGTGTTTATATAAACATTCCGTTTCCGTTTCCGCTTCCACCTAACCCTAATTTAACTTGGAAATTCCGAATCCACCATTCCCACATACAACATATACATGACGATTTTGCCGAAAGTATTTTAGCATTATTATCAAATTGCCAACCATTTGCAGAATTGCTTTTGGAAGTGGCGCACTATTTTTTACGCCATGTGCAGTATATTGATGGACGTTTATATTTGACAATTATATAAAATTTTCTTTAATTTTTTTTAAATAAAAAAATTTTTTATACATACAAAAAGTTTTTTTTTTTGTAATTAACCCCAGCCTTACGCGTGAGGACGCCATATGGCGCTATCGAAAAGTTTTTTAAGGGCTGTTATATACGTACGTAATAACTATAAAATAATATATAAAAAGTTTTATAAAATTGCAAGTTGGATTTTTTTAAAAATCTGTTTATATAAAAAGTTAAAATTAATATTGTTTAATACGTATATACTGTATGCAAAAAGTAAAAAACTTATACAGTAGTTTTAAAATTAATAGTTTTAAAAATAAATAAAATTTAAAAAAATATTTATTAATTATAAGAATATTACTAACTATAACCGGTAGTGATTATTCTTCGGGATGTTCTATTTTAAAAATAAGAGGTGGTGATCACTAGTTATTTGTACTAAAATTTTATTATACTGTAGTTAGTTTAGTTTTTTAAAAAAAATTAAAGCTTGAACTAGTAATTATTGTAGTAGATTAAAATGAAATTATATAGATTAAAATAAAATTCTGTATAGTATAAATAGATAAACTACCAAAAAAAACAAAATTTTGGATATATACAATATATTGTGGATTTTTCTTGGTATTAAGATAACCTTTTTAGTTAGATAACTTTATTAGTTAAATGTTTAATGCATGGGTTTTTTGTTATAATGCTATTGTAAGACTAACTAAACTAGTTTACCTACTTTAAAACAGAGCCTTTTTTATTTTTAAAATACAGTAAATCTACTAGTGCTATTTTTTGTTTATTTTTAAACTAATCTAAATTTAAATAACTTGTACTATTGACTAAAGCTAGTACTTGTAGTTAAAGTATTACTTTAAATTGTTATTATTTGTTTTTATAAAATTTATTTGAATTTTAATATCAAATTTTTAATTAATTTTAATATTTTAAACCTTATATAAATCTTCTTAAGCATTTAATTTAGATACTATAGTTTATAATAACAATAATTTGCTTTTAATATTTTTAAATATTTTTTTAATATTAAAATAACCTCTTAGTCAAATATACTGTACTTTTTATTGTATAAATAAGTTATTATATATATTTGAAGACTATATACTGTATTAATCATATCTATATCTTTTGAATATTTATTTAAATAGTTTGCCTATTACTAAGCTTTATACTATAATATCATATCCGCAATTTGTCTATTTGAATTATCTATAATATTTAAACTTTTATATTTATATATTTCAAGACCTATATTACTGTAATTAGAAACTATTATTTATAATTTTAAAAAACTAGTTTTTCTAATATTTATTTTGTATAATAATTTAAAACTTTAAAACAGACTATTATTTTTTTATTAACCTTCTTTTAGTACTTTTATTTTTAATTTTTAGTAACAAAAGTAACTACAGTATATAGTCATCATCCTGTCTTTTGTTTATTTAAGATTAAGCTAATTGAGAATTATAAGTAATTCTATTTATAGTTATATTAATCTAACTAAACAAGAAATTTACTTTAATAACTATTACTTAAATATAATCTGCTTTAATAGCTTTTAGTTTTTTTTAGATTCTTAATTATTAAAAACTTGAATATTTTGATTATTAGCTAGTAGCTATATATCTATTACTATTATATAGTACTAACTACTTAAATCTAGTTTAATATAGAAATATAAGCTATAGATTTAAAAAAAATATAAAAAAAATATATATACCAAAGTTAGTATAATAGATTTAAAAACTATATATACAAAAGGGTTATTTTGGTAACAGTAGTGATGAAAAACTTTTAAGTATCTAAAGCTTTTTAGTACTATGAAGAACAATTGAAACACTTTTATTATCTTGAGCTCTTGCAAATATAGTATTTTTTCCTTTGATATTTTTGGCTATAATTTTTGACAAAAAGTAGTAAATTTGATATACCCCTTTAAAAGATCAGCAATGTTTACCACTTCTATATTGAAAAACTTTGCATAATGACAAACAATACGTATAAAATAGATGAAGCTAGCAAATTTAGTAACTGGATGAGTGTTTGAAAGAATACCTTATATATCGTGTTGTTGAAGATATACAAACATATAATCATTGGATAGAGCACATAAAGATTCCAAAATTCTTATACTTTTGGATGAAGATATAGATTTAATTAAAAGAGTAAAGCAAAGTGAAAAGAGATATATAGGCATCCTCTAGTTACCTGTATATAATTTTTTAGCATCTAGCACAAGTTATAGTATATTTTATTTTAGTTTTACATTTCTTGTTAAGACTTTTGCACTTAATAGTAGATCATGACTCTGTATAATTAGAAGTTTTTGTCTGGTTAGCAGGTTTTCTTCTTTTTAGCGATAGTTTTTTTTAAGTTTTAGTTTAGTTTTTTTATATTTCTTAGTATTAATATCCATTTTCTATATTTCTTAGTATTAGTATCCATTTTCTTTGATGTATTAGTTTTATTGTTTACCCCTTTTTTTGGTTTTCACTATCTCTTTTTTTTCTTTTTTCTTTCTTTATGAAAAAGTATTATCAGTTTGGCAGCATTCTATTGTAAAGCAGAAATCTTGACAGAGTAGCACAACAGCTAGCTGAAAAATCTGATGAAAATAAGTCTGGAGTAAGTTTTGGATCTCTGGAGGAGGTCAATTGTTTGCTAGGCAAATTGCATCTACAATGGTTTAATGATTTGCTTTGATCACAAGTGGATGTTATGGTATCTTTGAAATACGCTATGAGTAAGTTTATTTTTTAGTTAGAAACACTATAGATTTAGATTTCTTCATATTGTTATATGGGCCGGTGCGAAAAGATTTGCACTTCAAAAAATTTTATAATTTTGACACTAAGAAAAAGTTTTTATTTTCTTGATTAATTATTAAAAATTTTTTAGTATCAAATAAAATAGGTTTTAATCTAACTTATTATATTATTTTTATTGTTTTAA